TGGCTCTTTCTCAGTGCTTTCACCGGGTACGCCTCTTCTCTCTCTCTCGCTTTTCTCAATCCAATGCATTATCCCTCAAAACCATCCATATCATTACTCCAACCCCCATCGATTTTTAGTTATAAATTATAGTTTATCATATATATTATATTTGATATTTTATTATAAGGTAAATATCTAATATTTACCTTATTTTATGTATCTTTTCATTTATTGTTATTTCAATTTATTACTATTTTCATATCCTTGTAATAAATAATATAACTTTCACATCATTTAAGTGTGATGGATTAATCAAACATTCACATGGTATCAGAGCCCTCTCGGTTTAACAACCCCGATCCTTTCTTTTCAATGGCTTTTGAATCCTCTAATCTTCTTCTCCACCACCCCTGCTGGTTTTGACGCCGCAGGGGCAGTCTTCATGGCTGCCGTAGTCGGAGCCGATTGATTAATCTTCGGCTCCACCCTATTGACCTCCAAATCACCTTTTGTTATACTCTGTACATACAACCTCACTTTTTCCAACCCAATCGGTTTTCCCCTTGGCGAATATAGTCTCCCTCATTTTCTTCCCAATTGACCTTCATCCTTCACATAAACCCTAACCTAAACCTATCAACCTTTTGCAGAGATTTACCTTCGGAATCTGGGTGCCGCACTGGCCTATTCGCCAACCAAGTTGCCGCCGCCCTTCCTGCCAAAATTGGCTTCTTCGCCCGATGAGGCGACTCTTCCAACTGCCCTTCTCGCCAAAATTGGCTCCTTCGCCCGATGAGGCGACTCTTCCGACTGCCCTTCTCGCAAAAATTGGCTCCTTCGCCCAATGTGGCGACTCTTCCGGCTTCAACATTGTCTTTGTCCCTTGCTCTAGGTTTCCTCTTCTACTTCTTGGGGTTAGAAATATTCTCACCAGAGCCAAGGCAGCATCGTCGCTAAGCGACAATCCCTCTTCATGGGTTAGACATCTTCTCGCCGAAGCCAAGGCAGCATCGCCGCTGAGCGGCGATCCCTCTGCAAATTTTTTATGGCCAAGAACCGGGTTGTTAGCATCTTCATGAAAAGTGTTTCTCAACCTCTTTGAATTTTTCAGATTCAAGCTTCACGTTCGTTTAAATCCGACGCTTAGCTTGTGGTGGGGTGTTAAGGATATTTAGTAATAAATTATAGTTTACCATATATATTATATTTGATATTTTATTATAAGGTAAATATCTAATATTTGCCTTATCCTATATATCTTTCCATTTATTGTTATTTCCATTTATTACTATTTCCATATCCTTCTAATAAATAAGATAACTTTCACACCATTTAAGTGTGGTGGATTAATCAAACATTCACAATATGCAGGATAACAACGGCTATGGGACTGTACTACTATGGTCTACGAGACACCACAGCTACTTATGCTACCAACTTCCTCAACTTAATTCCCGTGCTCACTTTTGTCATCTCCTCCATCCTTGGGTATATACTCTGCTACTGTACTCTACTAATAACTAAATAAATAGCCCTGCACTGATGCATGTGAACTGTGCAAGTGTAGGATGGAAAAGGTGAGCTTGAAGAGCAGAGTAGGGAAATTAAAGATAATGGGGGCATTTTTGGGCGTTGGGGGAGCATTAATTACGTGTCTTTACAAAGGAAAAGGATTCCACATTGGTCATCATGTTGTTGTCCAGCAACAGCATGTCGCCGTCTATAAGGCTCACTGGGGACGAGGCACCCTCCTGCTTCTTGGAAGCTGCTTCTCCTATGCTACTTGGTTTGTTGTCCAAGTATGTGTGTGTTGAATAAGTACAATTTTGAATGTTTTACTTCAGCTACACATATTCTTTCTTTTCATTCAATTCCAATTCAGCTAACTTTTCTAGTTAACTATAAACAGGTGAAGTTGCTCAAAGTATTTCCATATAAGTACTTAGCGACCATGCTAACGTGCATCATAGCATGCATTCACTCGACGCTTATTGGCTTGTTCCTGGAAACCGACAAGGCCGCTTGGAAGTTGGGTTGGGATCTGCAGCTTCTCACCATTTTATACTCTGTAACTGTTTCTCTGTATCTCTCTAGCTACTAGCTACTCTCTATTATATTAATTCATCCGTAATAGTATATATAAGTATATGCAGGGAGCATTGGCGACAGCAGCTACTTTTTGCTTAGTGGCATGGGCAGTTTCAATCAAGGGACCAACTTTCCCTCCCATGTTCAACCCCCTGCCTCTAGTTTTTGTGGCAATCTTAGAAGCCATCGTACTTGGCGAGGAGATCAAAGTGGGAAAGTAGGATATTAAATTAATTACTTACTTCATGTACCCTTAATTCAATCTGCTTTGAGGAAAGTGATGGATCTGGCGTTGCAGCATACTTGGGGCGGTTGTGATGGTAGCGGGGCTCTACTGTTTCCTGTGGGGTAAGGCAAAGGAGATGAAGGAATTATCGCATCTCCCAAAAGCAGCAGCTGCGGTGACAGTTGAAGCAGCAACAGCAACTTCACAACCTGCGCGGCTGCACTCGGCAGCTGTAGTGCCAAGCGCTTCACCAACTCACCAACATCATAATAATGCTCCAATTTCTGGAGCTGATGTAGAACAAGGCTTCATCAAAAGAAACCCTTGAAGCCATTGCAACAATGTATTTCTGTTATTAAGCTTTCAACCAGTTTTTGTTAGGATCTTACTTTTTGCTAATCCATCAATTCATTAAGCCATTACATCTTCATCCTCCAGCGCTATATCAAAATTCTCCAATCAAAGGACAAAAGCTTACCTCAATGTCTTTGCACATCTGACATCAACGGCTCATAAACTTGGAATCCAATTTGGTATAAAATTTGGTTTGAGTTGGTTGGATAGAATCGACTAAGAGAATTCTAATATGCGAATGGAATCAAATTTTCGATTTATTTAAGTTGTCCAAATCATATAAACATCTAAAATCTGAGCAAAAGTAAAAGAAAAAGTAAGAATAACAATAAATGCAAATCTACATGCATTGAAACACTAATAGAACTTATTAAAAATATTGTAGTTATATTAATTAATTGGCGCAATTATTTGGTTGGTGGATTCTGAAAAGAAAAAAGATGGATAAAGCAAGTATTTTGTATTAGAGAAGAGGGAGATTGAGAAAGAAATGATAATTAAATAGGATTTAAAAGGAATAAACAAAAAGTAATTGTTATTATATTTTTGGGTTTGGTAATGGTAATGGTAATGGTAATGGCAAAAATAAAAAATATATGGTCATATTAATAATTAACTTTTCAAAAGCCAAACCACACTATAGAACATCACCCATCAATCACTATCTGCTTTTCCCAATATCCACTTCTGATACCTCAAACTATTCCCTTCTCTTTCTTTTATGAAACGTGTAAAGTTTGCATCATTCATTTCAAAATAAAATTATAGATCTCGAATTATATTGCAAAATTTTATTTTAAAAAATATATATCTTAGATTCAATTAATAAAAATAGACAAAAGTTGCAACAAAATCAACTTTTATTCATTTATTTATTTTATCAACTTTAATAATTAATTTTTTTAATTTTGGTCGGAGTTGAATCTCAAAATTTAATATTGATGGTAAATTTTACCCTTTTCAATTTTTACTAATTTCATCTCTTAATTTCTACAAAAAAATAATAATAATAATAATAATAATAATAATAATAAAAATATTCACAAATTTAGACGTAATAATTACAAGTTGTCATAGGATATATTTTGATATTTTTCTTTTATTATTGATGATTGTTAAACTCGATGAGCATATAAATGAGGGACACTGTCTCTAAATAAAAAACAAAGTTACAGAGCTCATGTTCAAAATGGACTTATATCATACCAATGTGAAGAATTCAGACGTTGTTTAATTCCTCGCCCCGGAGGCTTAAGACCACTTCATGCCAAAGGGCATGCTCTTGCATGGGTTCTACTCGAAACACCTTTAGTTGGCTAGTTGCTTTTTTTTAGAATCGGATTGAAAAAATGAATAACACTTCAATTCCATCCACAAGTGTCTTTTATGGTCATAAGGTACAAAAATACCAATTGATTATAAAATAAACTCTCTTAGGGAAGATAAAACTTAAGCTTTCGTGATATTCCTAAAGAGAATTAAAAAAACCAATTTATAATCATAATATTTCTTTTAGGAAAGTGACAATATTATAAAAATCTTACATCATCGTCTTTTAAAGGCCATACACAATCTTTATAGAAAATTAAGAATATCATATTAAAGCCTCTAAAATTTACTGAGTAAATAGAATGCAAATCATAACCCTAAAAAATCTAAGAATAATTGGTTAGGAGGTGATAGTAATTCCATGATAAGGCTACAATAAATTAAAAATGTAAAAAAAAGAAAAAAAAAAAGAAAAAAAGAGTGATGTTTGTAAAGTTGTTGGTATGATACAAAAATTGTAACTAATTTTAAAGTTTATTGAATATAAATGGACTAAAATGAGTTATTTAAAAATAAAAGAACCAAGTTTAATACTATTATTAAAAAAAAAAAATGAAAATATAAGAAACGTGTAAACCCATGGATACGCGTCCAATACAAAAATAGCTTCAATACTTTAATTTAAACGGCAAAATTAAGAGTTATTTAGGAAAGAAAAGAAAATGAAATTTGACCAAGTAATTATTTAGTCTGAATGTTAGTATGTTTGAATTATTTGGAAGAAGAAAAAAAAAAAAAAAAAGGAATGGGGATGAGTAAGTTCGGAGCAATTTCTTTAGAGTGGACCCGGACAATGACGCATCTTTAATGACTTGCGTTCACATTACGTGTCAAACTTTGATTCGCTCGGGTACGACATTTCACTCCCACTTTTCCGACTTGGTGAATGGCAGAGTTGTTATTTTGATGAACGGCCGGGGTAGAAATGGCATGAGAAAGGCACAAAACGCGTTTTTGATTTTGTTAATAGAAAAAGGAAAAGAAAAAGAAAAGGAAAGCTGCCCTTCATTGCCCTTCATTGCCCTTGCCCTCCTATTAAACTTACTGTCGTCTTCTTCGTTCTCCCCGAAAAGTAAATCGCACTCTCGTCTCTCTTCTTCTGCTTTCATCTCTCAGTTTTTGACTCTTTATTAAAACAAAGAAACAGAGAGAATCTCTCCGGCCGATTACTTCTTCTTCTTCCTCCCTTCCCTGTTTCTTCTTTATCATCTTCTTTCCCTGCGCTTTCACCGACGATGGCGGTTTTAACCCTCAGTTCCCTCCCCCTGGGCTTCCGATTTAGACCCACCGATGAAGAACTCATCAACTTCTACCTCCGCTCCAAGATCAATGGAAATCACGAAGAAGTCAGCGTTATTCGCGAAATCGATGTCTGTAAATGGGAGCCCTGGGATCTTCCTGGTACGCTCTCTCTTTGCTTCCCCAATTTTTCTTTTATTCCTCTTCTTATTTATTTTCTTTTTCCGCCCTATGTTTCGACCTATCTCTGTCTAGCTGCTCTTTACGGACATCTCGAGTATCATTTGATTTTATTCCATTTTCGCTCCTCTCTGATTCTTTCCTTTTAGTTTCTACTTATTCCTTCTTTCTTCAATCAATTCCATCTGCGTATCGCTTCACCCGACTCCATGATTTCCTCTTACTAATCACCTATCATGATCCACCTTCGAGCTTCGATTTTTCTAACAACTGTTTCTTTCCGCCTATTTTGATCGGTGCAGATCTATCGATAATAAAGACAAAAGATCCCGAGTGGTTCTTCTTTTGTCCACAGGACAGGAAGTATCCCAACGGGCACCGTTTGAAGAGAGCTACCGATGCTGGCTACTGGAAGGCAACGGGTAAGGATCGCAAAATCAAGTCCGGAACAAACTTGATTGGAATGAAGAAGACATTGGTATTCTACAAAGGTCGTGCTCCTAAGGGAAAGAGAACCAATTGGGTAGTACATGAGTATCGTGCCACTCTTAAGGAACTTGATGGCACTAACCCTGGACAGGTCTTATTCTCTTCTAATTCCCCCTATTGGCTACTGGGCTGAATTCATGCTACAGTTCTGTCGATCCATATACAGTTGCTTGATTTGATTTCTCTTTTTCTTTCGTGCATTCAAAACTGGGATGGATGACTTTTAAGACCTACAAAATGCTACTTAAAAGTATTTAAAACTTCTCTCTATCACTGCATCATGATTTTCTTCTATTTTATTCTCTGCGCCATCTTATGTTTATGCTGAAAATTCTAAGCGAGAAATGTGTGGATATAGTATCTAATTCGTAACTCGAGTATAGACTTCAAGACTCCTTTGAGAGGTCTTGTTCTGCATAACTAAATTTTTTCTTTACACTTGCTAATTCGAAATGATCAGTTTTCAGGTGAAATCTATTTCCTGAATCTTTGAATGCCTTTGTTTCAATTCTAATTAAAATGTTGTTTGGTTGTTGGTTTCAGAGTGCCTTTGTTCTCTGTCGTCTGTTTAAGAAACAGGATGAAAGTATTGAAGGGTCAAATGGCGATGAAGCTGAAGCTGCTATTTCATCCCCTACCACAGCTGACTCATCTCCTGGACCTGGAGACTCCCATTCAGAGCCAATACTTCCTTTAGTTTCTCCATCATTGCCGGGGCGGGCTGAAAGTTCTGATGAAGTGGCATCCGAAACAGTCGAACATCCTGATGGTTCAGCTGAAATCTCTTGTTTTGATTCATATAATGCAGAAGTGAGAGGCTCCCTTTTCCTTTTCATTTTTATTACAAGAAATTCAGCATAATCTGAATTGTATGCATCTATGTCTATTTCTCATTGCAGATGGATCCTCATCCATATGAAAAGAAGAATTACTGTGTTTCAGAGGATGAACCACTTGATAGCAAACTGTTTTCCCCCTTGCGCTCGCAGCTGCAAGCAGAGCTAGGATCATCTGGCATATACTATTCCGATAGCAATTACTTGAACTTCGACGGAAATGCAAATGCAGTGCAGCAGTTACAGAGTGGGACAGAGGAGTCAGATTATATCTATCAGTTTATAGACTCTTTCGACTGTAATTTGGATGATTTTGCTCTTGAAGACTTCCAGATTCCGAATAATACAATGGCTAGCTTGGACTACCGATTTTATGGCGAAGTGGAGGCTGAAAATTCTAAAAAATCACAGGTTTGTGGGACTTTTCCTGCGAGTTTTTCTTTTTTAAAGATAACCTTACATTTTTACCCGGTGGTTTCTGTTTCTGCTTTGAATTCGTTTCGTTGTATTACTAATTTCTGGTCTCGAAGCAGGTTATGTCAGAGTTGGAAAGCTCAATTTGTCTGGAGGATATAGACAGGAAGATTCCTATTATTGAACATACGGAAACTGCACCAACAGAACAAGGTGCTGCTGCATCTCTCTTCTCACAATAATGTACTCAACGCGCCCATGACATATCTTGTTAAAATAATCTTGCTAATTGTTCTTGGCAGGTCAATTTTTTAATCCATCTGGGAGCCTTCCGGAATCATGCAATCAATTGTCTGCAGCAGGAAGTACCGATGCTACAGCTGGAATTCAGAGAATTAGTCGCCGGCAAAGAAGTCAGCAGCAACACAATGAGTTTTCTGCATCTCAGGGGACTGCGCCAAGAAGGCTACGATTGCAAAGGATACTTGCAGCGCCATCCTCACGCTCTAGCAAAATGTGTAGTGCGAGTGGTGGAAGGCGGGATGATGATCCCCCATCAATCTCTAGCAAGGTAAGCGCTCGATATAAAGTTAGTTATAACTCAAGTGAAATGTAACTATGGAACCAATACTATATATATCATGGTGTAAAGTTATAAACGGGTGTTATTGACATGACACACAGGAGAAAAAAGCTTCAGAAAACAAGAGTATTGGAGGGGTATGTGGGAGTGATGATGGTTTTGATGATGTGAAACAGCCCCAGATGAGGACTGAGGCTGCTGAGTCAGGGGTGAGCAGTGGTAAAGCCTCCCAGGAAGCGAGTTCAAAGTCAGTGGCAAGCTATAGCTCAAAGATTGGTTTCTTAACTGGGAAAAGAAGATTGGCGAAGGCACTGCCACCTTCAGTTCTTTCATACGTTTCTATAGTTAGGCTTGTTGTTGTAGTATTGTCCATAATTTTTATTAGCATTTGGAAGTGGTGTAAGCGCGACCAGCGTGGGTACCCTGTCTCACCCTTCCGTTAAGCCTTCATAGTTTTTTATGGCCTTCCCTTCATGGGGGTAGCAGATTAGGATTGTGAGAGGCATGTATGTGGTCAATGTGGATATTTAGTTTGGGCCTAATGTATGTTTTTATGCACCGTCCTCAGGACTCGGGAGTCCCATGTTTTTGTATAAAACAGCATCATCACTCTTCTCCACTCTCTTTTCTTTAAGGTGTTTTGTGTGTAAATTTAGCTGCCTGCTTTTATTTTGAAGATCGTTGCTTTAATAACAACATTTATTTATTTTAATAACCCCATTTGATGGGAATCACGTTCTTATATGTCATTGCCAACTTGAAGCCCTGGATATTAGTAAAAAGACCAAATCCAATCAATTTGAATGGTATCTTGGTGGTACAATTTGATCTTCATCACTTTCCTTGCATCATCAATTATAGAAGAAGTCTTGTTGCTTGGATGGGAAGGAAGAGGAATATGAATGAAAGAACTATAATTTATTCAACTTTTTCATTAAAGGGAGAAAAGTATGTATTTTATGAGCATGGACGGCGGATTGTTTCATTTAATTAGGATGTTGAGCGTGTGGAGTAAGAATTGGGAGGGCTCGGGGCTCAAACATCCAAAAATGTCCCATGCTGACTCACTTCCACGTGTCATCCTCCTTAATAAGCTAAAAGGCAGGTTACACTATTAGCTTTTTTGGATTTTTTTTTTTCAACATAAATTATCAAAGCAGTTTTTGATTGCATTGAAGAATATATATTATCTATTATCTTCAGTGCAGTGAATTGGGTTACTTAAATTTTATGAACTTGGTTTGTGGGAAAAGGAAAAGGAAAAGGAAAAACTGATGGATCATGAAATTTTGGTTGTGGCAGTACTTGTGTGCGTTGGTGTGGCGTGGCGTGGCGTAGAGAAAGAGAATGAGTTATTAGAAAGAGAGAGGGGTGAAAAGGCATGTGAGATCCACTTTTGAGAAAAGATGTGGGGGGGGGGGGAGGAACTGAGTTCCAGCATCCCCACGTTTTGAAGCATCTCAACTCTTGTAAAGTTGCTTCATTTCTGTATTTCCCCTTTTGAACCTTTCATGGGCAGCCCTTCTTCTTAATGTGTGTGCCATAATACCCCCACTTGGTGCTGTTAGCAGTTACAACTCTTTCAATCGCTCCTCCTTCTCAAATCCTTGTTTTCTTTTTTCTTTTCTTTTTTTTTATAAATTCCTTACCCTCATTTACTCATCTGCACTGCCCTGCTCTGCTTTCTTCCACTCCTTCCCCTACCAACACAACACAAACATTCTGTTCTTTCCCTCTTCGCGTTTCTGGTGATGGGTGAAGAAGCTGTTAAGATGGTCAGTCAGTATCTTACTTATAACTTGTTGTAATTAATGCAGTAGTAAAGTGAAGTGAAGTAAAGTAAAGTAATCGCTCATAACTTGTTCATGCAGGAAGAAGCAAAGGTAGAAGAGACGAAGGAAGAACTGAAAGTGGAGAAACCCAAGCCTTGTCCTCCTTCCGTGCTGTTGTTTGTGGATCTGCATTGCACAGGGTGTGCTAAGAAAATTGAGAAGTCCCTCATGAGAATAACAGGTTTTCTTTCCAATTCACTTTCCTACTACTGCATTTGGAATTATTTGTGAAACTTGTCCTGATTCCTGATGGATGGATGGATGCAGGAGTTGAAGGGGTGAGCATTAATGTGGCCAAAAATGAATTAACCATCAAGGGAATAGTAGACCCACATGCGGTTTGCGCCAAAATCACCAAGAAGACCAAGAGAGTAGCCAAAGTGTTGTCCCCATTGCCACCAGCTGAGGGCGAACCCACCGGCCCCCAACTTGTCAACTCCCAGGTATCAGCACACACACCTACGCACCTACCCTGCTCCAACCATACCACAATGGTTTAATTTGTTTATAGATTTTAATTCATTGAAGGTGGGTGGATTGACGGTGGTGGAGTTGAAGGTTAACATGCACTGCGAGGCCTGTGCCCTGCAACTCAAAAGAAAGATCCTCAAAATGAGAGGTACTATTGATTCAACCAGTTTTGAGAACTGATCAGACATGGATTAATTATGATTCATTGAAGGCGGATTTCATTTGTAATTGTCCAGGAGTGCAAACAGCATGGACGGAACTGAGCACGGGGAAAGTGGTGGTAACAGGAAGCATGGATGGGAGTAAGCTAGTGGAGTACGTGTATAGACGCACCAAAAAGCAAGCCAGAATAGTGCCACAGCCGGAACCTCCTCAGCAAGAAAACAAGCCCCCTCAAGAAGAACCACCAAAAGCCGAAGAAAAGAAAGAAGATGAGGCGGCGGCGGCGGCACCACCAGAGACAAAGACAGAAGACGCGCTACCCCAAGGAACAGACACGAACAATAACAAGGAGGAAGAACAACCAAAACCGACGGAACCGGTGGAACCAGGGGAACCAGCAGAAGAGACGAAGGCAAGTAGTGTGGAAGCGAAGCAGGCGGAGGGCGGAGACGAGACGATCATTATGGATGAGGTAGACCCTGAAAACATGAAGAGGATGATTTACCATAATTATCAGTATCAGTCGCTGTACGTTATCGAGCCAATTCCTCCACCGCCTCAGCTATTCAGCGATGAGAATCCCAATGCTTGCTGCATCCAGTAAATGCTTGCCATACATTATCAAGATTATAATATCCTATCCTTGTGTACGCCTTCTGTAATATATTCATTCCTATATTCATATCTAATAATCCAATTCTCTGATTCCATGTGCTTGTTCATCATATTCATGATTTAATTAATATTCTTTTTGCATATAATTAATTTAACAGGCGTGGCATGTGATGCCCAAACATGGTTCCTCAAGATTAGTTTTTCATGGGATATAATATATAAGTATTAGGAAAAGAAAATAATTGAATTTTGATTATTCCATTATGTTTGATTTGAAGAGTAATTTGAAGCATAGATAGAGCGTTTGATCCAAATATGTAACTAAAGAATAGAGGAATTATTCGTATAAACAAACAATTTGACTAGATCAAGTGCATTAACTATCTCCACAATTGTTAAACAAACAAAACACCCATGGTTCGTTCTGGAAGAAAAAAGGGTTGAGGAAAATATTGAATGTTTTAAACACAATAAATTACTCTACTTGGGTTGACACATGCACAATTCTATATGCACTATTATTGTTCACATGGAACTCACCGGTTCACACTCAAATTTGGATGTTAATGGAAGTTTTGGAGGAGTGTACGATGAAATTTTAATATTTCAATTTTTTTTTTGTCCTAATGGGACTCGAGAATTTGGTGCATTGTGTGACCATGGAGTAACCTACGATGGAGTCGTATTGCGATACGAGGGTTAAACGGTCAAACCATAGTTGTTTGTGAGTATGTTAAGAAGGTGTTCCTAAACCGAAAATAAAGAATCAAGCATATTTTATCTGGGTTGAAATGATTGGTGTTAAATGAGGAGGCCATAATATTAATAAACTTGGAGATTACATTGTATTAATGGATCACTCTATCAATATTGTCGATGTGAAAATGAAGTTGATGATAGGTGGATTTGTTTGAGAAAAGAAGGTTTTGGGGAGTAGAGTATTAGGCGAACAATGTGTTGGAAGTTGTTAAAAATTAAAATATAGTTAGGAACAAAGAAAACAAACCCTCCTCGTCACTCACTGCGCTTTAATACTAATGTGTATTGGTAATTGGTATTGGTATTGGTTCTCACGTGGATGGGCCCTTCTTCTGAAGCATGAATCATGTTAGGAAAATGGGCCATTGAAAGCAATAAGGTTGATTATAAAGGCAGAGGGTGACGCTGATTTCCACTCCTCCGACTCACTTCAACGGAATAATGCATGCCTCTCATCCTACTTAATATATATGAACTAAAGCTGACCCACCACTTTCCCCAATGCACAAAAGGCTTCAAAAGAAACGGATAACAAAAACGTTCCCATGGGGGAATACCCTTTCCAATATGGCCTATAAAAACCAACCTTAATCTGAGTGAGTGCATGGCTAATTTGCAAATAGTTCCGGCTCACACCCCATTTCATGTGGAGCCGCAGCTGGTGGAGATGATGGTTCCCCTTTATTCTCATGGTTGCGCCAACAAAATCCACAAGGCTCTCTCCCATCTCAAAGGTCTTATTTTGATTTTAAGTAGAACACCCATCTATATATTCTCCAAAATCTCACACTAACAACATGCATGGTATGATTGCAGGGATATATTCAGTTAACGTAGATTATGACGAGCAGAAAGTGACGGTGTGGGGAATATGCAACAAAAACCAAGTGTTGAGCACTGTGAGAAGCAAGAGAAAAGCAGCTCGTTTTTGGAACAAGGATGATGATGATAATAATAATAATAATAATAATAATGATCCACAAGCAGAAGAAGAAGGTCTAAACTCAAGAAGGCCTTCTTTTGGTGTTAACAAGCTTCGTTCCCTCAGTTTCAAATTAGCCTGCAAGAAGGTTTTCACCACTACAAGATCATATTCCTTGCGTATCTTTGGGGCTCCTACTGTTTCCTAACTTTTGTACATAATATATGTATCCATCTATCTTTTCACTCCATGGTCTTTGGATTCTCTAATCATCAATCTCAACATGAATGACTACTCCACACACTTCCACCAATCCTTTATTTCTACATCATCTTCTTCTTCTTCTTCTTCTACTTCTGCTTCACATCACCAGATGCACACAATTATGTTTCTTTGATTACCCCTGCTATTCTAAATTCAATTATCGTTGATGCTAATTTGGCTACTATCACCTAACCAATCACTATCGGTTATCTTGGTTATGTAACATTTGGTTATGAAATTTACTTTAGGCTGAGATTATGGTATTGAATGTACGTGAAAGGAGGAAAGAAATTTTGTGAAATGGAATCTTGTTGATGTGTGATTACTTGTGTTATCTTTCTTGTTGAGAATAGGAAGAAATGACGAACCTAGGGCGCTTGAGACTAAGTAGGCTAGAGAAAGACCTGTAACAGGATACCTCCAAGAGACTGTGCATTTAGGGTCGCGAAAGGCTGACCAGCGGGCCTAGACTCCAGTACTCCAGACCACGACAGGTTTGAGAGATCTTAGGCGATAATCCTAGAGATGAGTGGATCCATGTCTAAGTTACCAAGATCCACCCTAGAAAACCTAGTAGGATGCCATGGTAACTATAGACAACCAAGGTAGCTCGCTAGACTTGAGCAGGGTGAATAATGTCACCT